CTTTATAATAATTATATCATTAAACACTTTGCTGTTCAAAGCACTTCGACTACTGTCTTAATTTAACAACTGAACGAAAGTCTCCACGATTTTTTTTTCTTGGGTGATTAGTTGAAATTCAGTATAATCTTAATTAAAAAACAGAACCGAGTACAGAGTTGAAACTTTACATGTATTTTCTGTTTTAAAAGACATTTATCATGATATGTTTATGACCTCAGAATTTCATAGCAATCACAGATATTGGTATCAGAGCGGTTTTGTCTTAATTCATCACAGGTCTTAATATAAACCAGGATCAGGACTTTTAAACACTCATTTATGATAAATAAAACGCTACCCACTGAAGTGGTCGGAGCGTACTGCCGCTTCACAATTTAACAATTATATCTTAGAATTTACCTTTTCTTCCGTGGTACTTCAACAAATTATAGAATAAACAAAAAGTATTGCAGAATTTATTTCTTTTAAGGAAATGAAAACGCCAAGTAATTTTTTGAAACGAAATGATTCCTCGAAAATACAAACTCTTAAAAATGAATAAACACATCTCAGCAAAACTTTCACCTCTGTTGTATTCTAAAATTACTGATATTTTTTCTTCTGGTTTCATTCGTTTTTTATTTTTCGAGCATTTTTCTATTTACAGAATTATCGTATTATTGATCTCCAATTCTTTATAAAGGATCTGCTCAAATGTAAAACAAAGATTAAATCTAAGAAACTATCACAAATCCTTAAGCATAATCATTTCATTCAAAGTAATTTTTTATATATTCAAATCAACTTGAAGACTTTTTACAAACAATTTTATTAAAGTTACAGAATTTTATTGAAGTATTGCTAATATTTCTGTTTTTAAAAATACGCAAAATACTTCTCAGAAATTCATTTAAATCATTGATTGCCAATATAATCCGAGAGCAACACCTTTCTTCAAAGACTGGGATCAGAACTAAAGTCCTATGCGATAATCATTTGAATGCTAACCATTACACTGTTCAGAGCACAGCATTCGTTTCAACATTCTCGAGAATACCAATTTTAAGAATTTATGGTTACAAGAAGATGTAAAATGGAAAAATTTTGTGTCCTCTATCTCATTTTCATCTTTTAAGTACTGACATCTCGAAATACCAAACAAAAAAATGCACCACTATATAACAGCTAGTACAGGTAAAGTATTATTTTCGCTACAAAAGAAAATATTTTAAAAATCGTATTGATTTAAACGTAAATAATGCATGAAGTTGAATACTTCTATGAAAGAAATATTATTATTATGGATAGAATAAATCAATTGCGGAACAAAAAGTTAAGATTATTTAGTTTATCGTAAGAAGGGAACATGTTGAAACTTCACGAATTGAAATGTTTTTTTCTTGATAAATAAATTGGAAATTCGTAGAAAAATTACTATGCAACTGTCCTAGTTTTCCATAAAAAAGTCATAAGTACTTTTAAAACAATCTAAATATTAAAAACAAGTAATATATATAAAAAAATTATGTCAATTCCTCTACTCGTGGATACAGCTTTTTTGAATTTATAGTTACCTGAAGTTGCAAAAGGGAAGTTTTCTTCCCAAAGTTCTTATTTCTCATATTTTCCCGTAACTAGTATCTGTGCATCACGTCTAACCACACACACACACAAACAAACAAAACAATATACTCATACCACCTTAACAAGACTGGTGGAGATAAATTATTATGTTTGTTAAACAAGAAAAATATTTCAAAAATCGCATTAATTTAAAGCAAAAGGAGGAACAAGGCTGAATACTTCGATAAAAAAAAAAGCATAATTCACGCGGAGGAAATGAATAAGTTAATAAATGAACACAAAAGGTTTACGTTAGTTGTTTTATCATAAGAAATGAATGGCATTCATTTCTTATGTATGAATTATCTTTGTATGAATTGATATGATTTTAGTGATAAATAAATTGAAATTTCTTACAAAAAAAAGTTCTCTAATTCCAAGGTGTTTTCGCCGAAAAGAAATTTAAAAAATTGTACATTAAATTTTTTTTCTAAATTTTTTCATGAACTGAATTTTTCTATATTAATCCCATTTATAGAACACAACTTTGTATACTTAGTCAAAAATTCTCATAAGTTTTATTAATTACTTGAAACGAAAGATAACAATTTTACAAATTTCTTAATAGAAAGGTTAAAAAGTTAACTATTTCATTAAAATTAATGTTTCAGAAATTCACATCCTGCCTTTCTCTCTCTCTCTCTCTCCAGACTCTTTATCAAAATATTACTTAATATTTTCCGTTCTCGAAAGCACGTATCGTATACTGTTTAGTTAAGCCTGAGAATTCCATTTAAATCACTAAAAAATCAGAGAAAGAGTCTTTCGTTTTCTCACAGGCTTATATAAACCTAGATTTGATCTCCAATTTAAACTCTGCACTGATATATCGAATGCTACCAACAGCGCTAATCAGAATGCACAGATCGTTTTAGATTAACAAATATCTGAAGTGTAAAGAAGACATTCAAGCGAAATATTTCGGGATGATTGACACAGAGAAAGTCTATCCTATAAAAGACAAAAGAGAATAGAATCCTTTGTTTCCTGGATTTTATATTTTATGCCATTTTTTCTTTAATACACATGGCTAAACTCCTTCTGCAGAATTACACATTGTATTCAAGAATCAAATATGGGTCATTTTTTCGTGGATCTTCGCAAACTCTTGTTTTACCGGCATTCTGAATACTAATTTAATTCATTCTTATTTAAAACTGATTCATTTACATACCTAATGTCAGTATAATTTTTAAGACTGTATGATTCAATTAACAAAAATCAGTCAAGAATTTAAATAAAATTGTTTTAGCCTAAATTATTCACTTCCTACTATTAATTCACTCTCCCCCTATATACATACACACACACACACACACACACACACACACACACACATATATATATATATATATATATATATATATATATATATATATATATATATATATATATATATGAAATACTTCTATAATATTTCTGGAGAGTGGTAAAAATAAGTGTAAGACGTGGCGAGTGGATGTTATTACTGTAGCGAACCAAAGGTAGGGCCGATGGCGAGTGTATGATTGTATATTAGATACATTTTCCATGTTGGTTGATGTTACGTATTCAATACTATAGATGAGGCAGTTTGGGACATTTATCCAATTTATTGCATCTTAAAACACATAGAGAGCAAGTAGGGACGGCATTACACATAAGAAGCAAACATCATGGCACAAACACAGACAAAGACAAACGCAGAACGCGCTGCAGCTGGCTGATTACATGGTGAAGGCAAGCAGAGAAAAGAGAGGAGAGAGAGGGGCGGGATTTCCAGAGACATCGGTTTTTATACCCGACGGTGAAGACCACGTGACATTTTTGTAATAAGAACTCTGTTTGGTTACAATAGGCGGGAAAGGGATTTATGATGTAATAATATTAGTCGATTGCGATTAAGATCAGGGTGTTAGTTTCGAACCAAATAATTAAAAGATTATTTGAATATTATTAAAAGAGTTAATTAAAAGGATCCTAGGGGGAATTGTTATATATATATATGTGTGTGTGTGTGTGTGTATTAATTCCAATAATTTAATCGGTAATAGCTCTTGGATTATTTAATGTCTAGTCCTTCAGGACAACCGTGTAATTAATTTAATTGGCTACCCGCCTACCGGGGACTGTTGAAATAACATCCATCCACCTCCTAAATCACGTGATGTCACGATGCATAGAAATAGCGAGACTCTGGAAACCGCGCTCTCTCTGCTCTTCTCTGCAATCATGTAGCAAACCGGCTGCCGCGCTTTTGTGTGTTGTCTTTGTCTGTGATGTGCCGCCCAGTCTTTGTTGTTTGTAAGATGTTTTAAGAAGTGCAATACACTGGATTATTGATTTGCAAGATTGCCTCTTCGTAATACAGTATCATTCACTGACCACCGGCCACGCCCTACCTTTGGTTCACCACATTAACTTTATCCCCTCACCATGTCTTAAAAGTATATTTTTATCATACTATAAGTTTTAGTATTTCATATATATATATATTGTTCAGATTTTCAATCGTTGATAAAATCTATATACATAAAAATGGATGCTTGTATATATGAAATCGCATCAATTGAACACCGTTCAACCGATGACTATGAAAAATGACATGTATATGTATTTTTTGTGGAGAAGGCTTTTGTGTTATCCTCTTTGTTGCAGCTCCCTACCAGGTGGCGCTACAGCATATCAACATGTGCACCATTCAATCAATCGCCACGTTGCCAACAGGGTCGCCATAAAAGATGCTAATTTGGCTCTATCGCCGACATTTCGCTATGTTTCTATTGAATCGCCATTATAATGTAAGGAAGACGTGGCTTGCGAATATTACAAATGTAACTTAAAATAAATACAACAGAAAGCAATATTAATGTATTTCACATCCAGATATAAATTATTTACACTATTTTAAGCGTTCATTACACAAAATATGTAACAATGTGTTACTTTTGCTGAGCAGAATCAGCTTAGGAAGCTGTTTTCAAAAATCCACCCACTAGAGAGTTACGGGGCGTTATAAATAAAAAAAATCCTTTTTATCAGCTATTAAATCTACAGACTTAAAATTTAGCAAACATGTTTTTTTTTGTTCAGCTGAGATATACAAAAACCTTTTTTTTTCGTTTAATTTCCAATTCACGCAAAATCAACTCATTAAAAACTTCTTTATACTTTAATCTGTAATTTTTAATTTTTTAATTCACCCGTGCGAAGAACGGATATACCAGCTAGTACTTTCTATTCATCCATTGAAGTTGAAATACATTTTTTTAAATTTTAGTGGATGAGTAAATGACACTTTTGATGCTAGTATTTTTTCAAATATTAATTCATTCATGAAATTAAAAAATGAATAAATATTAGCAAACAAAAATAATAGTCCAACAGCATATATAGAAAGAAAATTTGCTCGTTGTGTTCCTGTTGCGCAATGCATAGCGCGTTGGACTTCTCATCCAAAAGTTGTGGGTTCTAATCCCACTTGGGATGGCCTAATTGCGAAGAATATGAGTTATTTTTCACTGTACTGTTCTATTGGAATAATTACATTTAATTAATGAATAAATAGAAACAAACAAACACCTCATATAGAATGGAAACTCCTTATATAGAATGGAAAATTCAGAGTTATTTTAATTTTTTTATGTTCGTTTTTGCTCACACGTATCCCAAAGGAAAATTAATACTTAAGTGGATTTTTCTCAGAAAGAAAAAATAACTCATTTATCTCCATTTAAAATGCTGAGGCTTATTTTCTATTGTGCCAAATGCTTTGAAATTTTTCTTACCTATTGCTATTAGTACATGTAACAAAAGTTGGTATGTATTTTTGAACCAAAGCAATATTTTTTTGTGTGAAATAGTTGAAAGAATTCATCCATTTTCCAAGGAATTTTCCCTAAGCATTCATAAAAAGCAGTATTTTACAAGTATCAATTATGTTAGCAGAAAATGCATGCTAACTTTTGTAGCACAAAGTTCGACGTACTTGTAAATCAAATTTTATGTGTGTGCCTAAGTTATTGAAGGAGGAGTAGCATTTTAAAATCCCTTCATAAATTTTAAAACTTTTCTTTCAAAAATGAAATGGTGTGTCTTAAGTCGTACCATGTCCCCTTAAATTTAAATTGTTGTATTGAACAGCGCTTAATTCTTTAATGCCTAGAAAATATCCAAGTAGCAGTAAAGGGTGACATTTAATGTTTTTTTTTCGATCTTCATGTATTTCATTCCTTATATTCATTCTTGTTTGAAAAGGGTAAATAAGATTTGATCGTATGTTTCATTATACCCTCACAAACTCGGATTTTATAACACTACAAATCAATTGTTAAGATGCCAAAAAGTAAAGATTTTTACTATGTTTGGCTTTGAATCAACTTTTTGAACTCCAGGTTAATATTGAAAACGGATAAACATATGAAGAAAATCAATATTGTACGTATTTCGTCCATCCAGAAACGTTCAGGGACCTATTGATTTCGTTTTATAGCTATTTCAGAAGCTGCAAAAATCCCTTTGAAGAAATCTGAATGAAAATTACAATACAACTGTTTTTTTTAAATAATGAATAATAAGTAACTGCTATAAATATGTATTTTGGTCTTTTTATGCTTATAGAGGAAATTTCAAAAGAAAAATAAAGTGAAGTTTATGGGAGTTTTTTCTTTATTGTCAATGGATGATGGGATTTTTCTTTTAAAGTCATTTTTCCACATTTGATTGATTTTAATTTCCGTGGATATGTTAGACCACGGTGATATTTAATGCTCTGTCAGAAGAGAACTTCTATAGTTAATATTCTTCTACTAGTTAAAATTAGAAGTCTGAATGCCTATACAACCATGGAGAATGACTTTCAGAAGTATCCTGCATTAATAACCCTCCGTTAAACATGCAAATCTCTCAGATGCATAACAAAAATTGTTCCGATAGTGCGTACACACAGTGGGCTTGAACATGCCACTCCTTTTTCTATCTGCCTTTCATCATTCGCGCTAGAATTAAGTGTCAAGGACAAGGGTGATTTCTTCATATTTCGGGCGGCAGAGGTCATTGAATCTGATAGATGCAGCGCGCTCACAACAACGTCAGTTTTTATGACTTATTACTATTTCGTTAAGGTATCCGACTACGTCCGGAACCGTGATTTTGAAAAAGCGCATAAATAGATAATTTTCATGATATTTAGTGTCACTCAGATTAGAATACATGTTTTAAGGACATTTTGACAAAAAAAAATTATTTAAATATAATATTTTGACAAAAAATTACCTTAGAATAATCTTTTTTCAAAATGTTTTCCCATTTGCGAAAAATACTTCTATTATAATAATATTTTGTCTGTATATAGCTCAGACGTCTCTACAGAGGCTCAACTAGAATTTTTGAAATATATAATCTAGAAGTGAGTTTATCCATGTTTTACGACAACAGAGGGGAGAAATTTTAAGAAAAAAAACGCTGATAATTATTTTAATGGGTTGTAACTCTGAAAATAATGTGAATTTTTCAAAAGTCATAGTTGAGCCTCTGTACAGAGGTCTGAGCTATATACAGGAAAAATATTATTATAATAGAACCATTTTTCACAAAAGGATAACATTTGGAAGAAAGATTATTCTAAGTTAATTTTTTGCCAAAATATTATATTTAAATAATTTCTTTTTGTCAAAATGTCCTTAAAACAATTTTATGCGTGTATTCTAATCTGAGTGACACCAAATATCATGAAAATTATCCATTTATGCGCTTTTGCAAAATCGCGGTTCCGAACGTAGTCGAATACCTTAATTTTGATTTTTTTTTCTTGTAAAATTGTGTAGTTTTCAGTTTTATACGAAAATAATTCGAAACAAGTATTTTGTAACTATGTTTCATGGGGTTTTTTTCAGATGGGAGTTGTGTGAGATACATCCGAGGGATACCACGTGTCTAGCCAGTGACTGTATTTTATCTAATCCGCAATGTAGCTGGAATAAACTCCCAAAATATCTATATGGGTATCAAAATCACTCAGATCCTCGCTCACATATCTTGGAAAACTAGGTCACGAACTTTTGTAAGAGTACCTGCGAAGACGGTATGAGTGTACCATTCACATGCCTCGTTCATTTAGACTCGGGATTGAAGAAATATCTGATGCGCAACGCTCCATTCAAGACGAAAAACCAAGAGAAACATCCCCAGGAACTTTGAAAAGAAAGTAGTGTTCCCTCTTGTCAGACCCTTGAACATTGTAAGGTGATTTGCGAAGACTGCAACAAGGCATCTTAAAATATAAACAGGGATGACACAATGATAACTAACCATTTTTTTTCTGATACTTTTTCGTATAAATATCTCAGTTCCTAATTTTGTTTTAATCTCACCAATAAAATGCAATAAATCATCTTCAGACGTAAGTATGAGGTGATGCATTTGAGAGATACCACGCGCCAATGAATGGAGCTTTTTGAAACGCGCCTAGCGGAGGGACAATCATGTTATACATGGTTCATGCTTAATATTAAATGAGAATTGATTTTAAATATTCCGCTGGATTAATTCAGTGTCAAAAACTGAAACTCGTATAATCCACAGATGCCATGAAAATAGTTAGCAAATTAGGATTCGGAATAAAAGGTCTTTCTCAAGAACCAGAACTCGAATTTGACGATCGTATGAAAGTTGTTATTTAATATCGACGAATGCGATATGAAATGTAATTAATGTTTTGGTTGATATGAGGTTTCAGCATAAGCTTTTGAACTCGGCAATGGTGTTTATTTGAACTGATACGCCATGCATGCCTTAGACTACTGGGGTGAAAAGGAATCCCTATTTGGGCCACTATTTAAGAAACTTCATTTCTGTCCTTTGTTGATCGCGACTTGTGGAAGAAGGGCTCACTGCAAGGTTTTGATTTCAGCGAAAGCCTTTTGGATTTCCATCCCGAAACATGTAGAAGTTAGAATTCTCAGTAAACGAATATAATCTCTAATTCAGAAGTAGCTAAACTTTCAGCTTTAAAATAAATTTATGTTTATTATATATATTTCTTAATTATAAAAAAACACTAGTATATTCATTTATAACTGCACCCAAATACAGGCGGACCTCTATATAACGAAGTCGCTAAATCCCGAAAAAAAGTTCACTATATGGAAAACTCATTATACAGAGGTTCGTCTTTTAATTTACTTTATAAACCACATAAAACAAGTTTTAAATTCATAAACACTATATATTAAAAAAAGCAATTATTCATACCTTGTTTTATATTAATATATATATGTTTATTTTATATATCTTACCCATCAAGAAAGAAAAACTGCTAGGAAAACAAGAAAGTCGAAGAATTCACTGTATTTCCAATACTAAGAGAACAATTTTATACTAAAATTTATGAATTTTAAGGACATTTTATAACTCAAAGCATACAGGAAATATTAAACATACATTATTTTATAATTAGAACACGGGTCAACTCCAGTGAGGGTTAAAGAGGATATCGAAGATGTTTCTAGTTAACTAAGCAATGGAGGTTAAAGGTTGCATTTCTTGGATGAAACGTTCAGAACTCTACTGATCTCGACGAGTTTGGATCTAATAAAACCAGTTCAATATTTATGACAACCATTAAATGTGTTAAAGAGAGAATAACTTGAACTTTTTTCAAAAATTCTTTAAAAAAAAGGGAGAACAAAAATTTAATCACAAAAGAAAAAGTTCGTTACAAATATACACAGCGTGTGATGAGTATGAATCGTTAAATGAACACCAAGTTGGCGGATATCCACTTCATCTACGGCCAAGCCAACGGAAATGGACGTCTTGCTGCTCGGTTGAATGAGGAAAGATATCCAACGAGGTGACAACCGACTCATCAAACGTTCACTCGAGTGCATCAGAACCTGGCGGAACATGGATCTTTCAGAGCCGCGATTGACGACACGCCTGTCAATTCTGAAATGAACCTGGTGGCACGAGTATCCAACGCTGCTGCTACGATCCGTGAAACTCCCGGTATTTTCGAACATGTCTTCTACTCCATGTCGCGTCGATGTTGTGCGTGCATACATGTCACTGGCAGCTATTTCAAACACCTCCTGTGATGCTTTAATTTCATACTTTTAATTTATTATTTTTTTCTTAATTTTTTAATAAGGCATTTTACACTACATTCTATATTGTGGCCTTGCCGTCTTTGTATCTCTTTATCTCGTTAGAGTTACGTTTCCACCCATGATTTTTTATGTAATTATGGCTTCTCAGTATGTTCCCTACCTCCCCTCCAAGTTTTTACACCGCATTCGGGGGTACTCTGTTTGTTTATTTGCTACTTATATGTTAAAGTGGTTCCAATATTTTTGATTGTTAAATCCCGTATATAAGAATGATGAAATATCTTCACACGCCGTTTTAATTTCTTAATGTATCTGTTAATCATATCTTCCAGAATAGATAATTAAAATTCCTTTATTTTCTCTCCCCTTCAATATCTATTT